CGAAATGGATTTTCTCTTTGAGTAGATAAAGGCCAGCACAATGTGGCCACAGTTTTATCATTCATCCTCACGTCTTTGCACACACACAAATGATGAAATCGTCCTCCGAGCTGCTTGCACCAGCAACCAAACATACAAATATATTAAGATGCGATGATATGATTACTGCCGATCTGATTATGGATTTATTAGCCTCCATCTGCTCGAAGACTAACAAAAAAACTCAATTGAAAGATCCTATAAGAGTCACAATGTATGAACAGCTTGTCTAGTTTTAGTCAACATCTTTATCAGCTTAACTTAGTTAACAATGCAGAAATCAACTAATTACTTCCGTCGATGATAACAACCAAATTTGATCTGTGGTTTGAAATGTGAACTGGGGTTATTACAATAGACTAAGACTAAAACAATTGTTAGTTATTGGGTTCCCAAATAAATTAAACAAAATATAAATGTTGAAATTTAGCTCTAGCAGCATAATAAAATACATTTAAGTTAGAGCACTTACTTATGAGGTGGGTTGTTAGCCCAACACTCAATCCCCAACCTGGAGGACCAGGACATACACATATACACTATGTACAATTTAGCTTACCCAGTTTACCATCAGCACACGTCTTAGGACTGTGGACGAAATCCACTTGAACATGGGGAGAACATTCAAAGTTGGAGCACTACAATTACAAATTGAATATAATTATATCGAAGACTGGAAAGTACAGTATAAATTTACATTTTCGTTAAAAAAAGACAAACATTAGACCAATAAAATCAATAATAATCAGCAACATTAATACAATTTTAACCTAAATGAAAACGTCATTAAAAGCTAATTCAAAATATTTATGAAAGGTACAGTATACTATATACAAATTAAAATACTACTGGTCAGTTTCATTTAGTTGAACGTTTAGTCATTTTGTTTTGCATTTTTGCATGTACAATTACCACAAAATGACAAAATGTAATTAAAATAAAATATGTATACTTTTATAGTTTTTATCAACATTTTCAATTAGCTTTTAATTATATATTTTTTGTTTTTATTAATGTTGCTAAATTTTGATAGATTTTGATGTTATTTTTATTTTTATATTTTTTCATTTATATTAAAATTGCAATAAATTGCATATATATAAAAGTAAAGTAGTATATATATATAGTTTTTATTATAATTTTGAATTAGCTTTCAATTAAATATTTTTTTGTTTTTAAATACGATTTTTATTGATTGTGCTTGCAACAGGATATCGCACCATGTCATAAAGCGCGAATCATCTCAGACTGATAACTGCGTGATGCTGTCATGTCAATATGGACCAAAACCTCAGAGGAATATTTCCAGTACCTTGTTGAATCAATGCCACGAAGGATTAAGGCAGTTCTAAAGGCAAAAGGCGGTCCAACCTGGCACTAGTTACGTGTACCTAATAAAGGGGCCGGTGTATATATATATATACACACACACACACACACACACACACACACACACACAGTTGAAGTCAGAAATATCAGCTCCCCTGTTTATTTTTTCCCCCCAATTTCTGTTTAATGGATTGAAGATTTTTTTAAACACATTTCTAATCATAATAGTTTTAATAACTCATTTTTAATAACTGATTTATTTTATCTTTGTCATAATGACATTAAATAATATTTTGCTAGATATTTTTCTCAAGACTTTTTTTTACAGCTTTTATACAGCAGTGACATTTAAAGGCTTAACTGGGTTAGTTAGGTTAACTAGACAGGTTAGGGTAATTTTGGTTTGTTCTGTAAACTATCAAAAAAAAATGGCCTAAAGAGGCTAATAATTTTGACCTTAAAATCGTGTTTAAAAAATTAAAAACTGCTTTTATTCTAGCCAAAATAAAAAAATAAGACTCCAGAAAAAAAAAAATATTATCATTATATAATATTTGGGAAATATTTAAAAAAGAACTGTGTGTGTGTGTGTGTGTGTGTGTGTGTGTGTGTGTGTGTGTGTGTGCGTGTGTGTGCGTGTGTGTCTTATTATAGATTTTATTAATATTTTGAAATTGGCTTTTAATTATATTTTTCTGTTTTCGTTTAAGCACTTATTTTATTGATGTTGCTAATTTTAAATATATTTTATTTGTATTAATCTTTGTTTCATTTATATTAAAATATATTTCATATACCTGTAAGTTGTTTATTTTAGGTGTGTACAGTTAGAAGATTTTTCATTTCATTAAAAAAGAATGTCCAAGTAAATGAAATGGTTTATGGTATTAGGTTTAGTTATCTCTAATAACCCTGCTCCTTTGAACCCGTTCCATCTGATTTGAACATCTGCCATCAAAGTTTGCTCTATTTATGTCCTTCAGCTGCCTTCATTTGCTTGTCTCCTTTTTAATGACTGCATTAGAAATGCCCTTTATGAATCAATGCATTTTCCAAGAAAGGACTCATCTGAAGGCTGAACATCTTTAATGCGAATCTGTTAGTAGAAACGTTAATAAACAATGTCAGATGTTCACAGCTTAGATGTTTTTAGCTTGTTGTTTATTAAATAATGAAAATGATAAATTATACAGTATATATATTTTATTAGTATATACAACAATTTTAAAATAAGAGCAACAATCATATTATATTACAGTATATAATATTATAAAAACCTTACATAAGAGATAATCGAGCCAAAATAATCATTACTTTAAAAATAATAATTCAGATCAAAATAAAAGAAGCCAATTAGCCTGCCTGCAATGCATTTTAATAAGTCTGATCACAAGTGGAAAAATATAGCTGTAAATGGGGTCTAAAATGCTTTGATCCACTTCCAGAGGTGGTCCAAAACACATTCATTCGAATTGTTTTTATAATGTAAATGCATTTCAACTAGGCATGCATGGGCCGGTATAAGATCTGATAACCTTGGATAAAAACATCATGGTGTCACAGTAACATGGTATTGTGATTTACATCTTTCCCCCCCTATTGAACACAATACATTTTATTTTAGGAAACATTTCAAATGTTTTGGAGTGGTTTCTGCTGTGGATGGTCCTTTACTGCTGGAGATACTGTTGCACTAAAAAAAACTAATAAAATAGTCACAAAAAACACGTCAAAAAAATCCTTTAAAACCTTGACTTTTCCAAACCGCTGTAAACCTTGAAACCGGTCATCATCCCATGCCTAATTTAAACAGCCTCAAAACATGCTCATTATGGCACCTGTTTTGAGATTGTGCATCAAAATAATATGATCATAATTCACTTGCATTGGGGTATTTGGCCTAACGGTTAAGGAGTTGGACTTGTGATCGAATTGGGTCAAAAGCAGAGGACCAATTTCGAGTATGGAAAACCATACTTGACAATCAAATCAAATGTACAGTTAATATCCACATCTTTTCATTCGCTTCCATTAGCCGGCAGCTAGCTCTCTGCAACAGGGCTGTGGCCTGGAAGTACCTACAGAAGATGGGAGACCACAAGAGAAAGCTGGGTTGTTGCCGGAAGTGATCTTAGTGAGACCAGCGGGGGGTGCACAACCTGTGGTCTGTTTGGGTCCTAATGCCTCATTATATTGATGGGGGCTCTATACTGTTCAGTGAGCGCCTTCTTTTGGCTGAGATGTTAAACTGAGGTCCTGACTCTCTGTGGTCGTTAAAAATTCCTGGATGTCCATTGAAAAAATTGTAAGGCTTTAAGACCAAAATTCAAGCCAAATTTGCCTACTGGCCTCTGTCCATTATGACCTCCTAACCATCCCCATATCATAATTGGCTTCATCAATCTCATGTCTCCTTTTCAGCAATCAGCTGGTGTGCGGTCTGGCCCAATATAGCTGCTATGAAGGTGGGTGCTACACACTGGTGGTGAATTAGGAGATTCTCCCCAATTTGTAAAGCGCTTTGAGTGTACAGAAATGTGCTATATAAATGTGAGGAATTATTATTATTATTATTATTAAATCTAATAAGCCACATATCATGGGTTCAGTCATTTAACAGCACTTAAGTTGCTTGTTAAAAAAATGTGTATGAAAAGTTATAACATTTTATGTAGAGTGTGACTAAATAAGAGGGAAGGGTCTTGACAAAATCCAGACACAAGAGATGTAATGCATTTTAAAGGGGTCACACTCACAAACTATCTTTTTTGTTTATTTTGTACTGTTCTATTGTTCACTTACAATATTATTAAAATTTGTACATTAAAACCATTATAATTTGGAAGCAGTAGTCTATTTTATGTGCTGTTTTAATCCATCTCATTGAAACGTGCTGTTTTTCAATAGGTGTAGCTGATTTTAGGCAAGGCAAGGCAAGTTTATTTATATAGCACATTTCATACACAATGGCAATTCAAAGTGCTTTACATAAACAAGAATAAAAGAAACAAGTAAAATAAAAATAAAAACAAAAAATAAAAATGCGTAAAAACAAAAGAAAACATAAAAACAGGTAAAATGTGATATAAAAGAATGAAGAAGAAGAGAAAAACATGATAGTGCAATCTGTCGGACGCAGCACAGTGCTCATTCAGTAAAGGCACAGCTAAACAGATGTGTTTTCAGTCTTGATTTGAATGTGCCTAATGTTGGAGCACATCTGATCATTTCTGGAAGCTGATTCCAGCAGCGGGGGGCATAGTGGCTGAAGGCAGATTCACCCTGCTTTGACTGAACTCTTGGAACTTCTAGTTTATATGATCCTAAAGATCTGAGTGATCTGTTAGGTTTGTATTCAGTGAGCATATCTGTGATGTATTTAGGTCCTAGGCCATTTAGTGATTTATAGACCAGTAATAATACTTTAAAATCTATTCTGAATGTAACTGGCAGCCAGTGTAAAGACCTGAGGACAGGTGTGATGTGCTCTGATTTTCTGGTTCTGGTTAGAATTCTGGCTGCAGCGTTCTGGATGAGCTGCAACTGTCTGACTGTCTTTTTAGGAAGACCAGTGAGGAGTCCATTACAGTAATCCACCCTGCTGCTGATAAAAGCATGAACAAGTTTCTCTAAATCTTCACTTAGAAGTAAATGCTAAAGTTTAATTGAACATTTTCATAAGTTTGAAAAAATCAATTTGTGTCCACCAACGTAAACTACTGCATGTACTGTAAGTTTGACAGTCTACATCCCAGATTTGAGCTAAAAAAAGGCTATGCTGCGTGACAGGACCCAGCAGTGTTCAGTGCGCAGGTTTCTATTTCCCTTCAGCTCTAGTCACTGCGCGGTCTAAAGCAGGTTTTGTACTGGATGTGGAATATGCTGCACTATGAAACCCGTTCATTTCAATGGCTTGTGCAAAGGTGGTTTGTTGGTGCACCGACCACAGCACAAGATTGCCAGAATGGACCATTATATGCTGCCATTGAAGTTCGAAATAACTCTATTTCCCGCTCGTCTACACATACACTTATACAGGAATGAACCGCACATGCTCACCGGAAAACCACAGTATGCTCAAATAATTCATTTCTATGTAGTATACTTGTTCTTTCTGCTTGTAATAGCGCTACTGTGCTATGTCAAAAGTGTACTTGGAGCTTCATGGGATTAAAATTGAACCACTAAAGCCACACTGAATGTTTTGACAATGTTTTTGCTTCCTTTTCTGGACTTTGGAAGAGGACTGTTGCTGTCTATGGAGGATGAGAGAGCTCCAGGATTTCATCTAAAATATCTTCATTTGTGTTCTGAAGATGAACGAAGGTTTTAGAGGATTGAAAGGACATATGGGTGAGTAGTTAATAACAGAATTATCATTTTTTGGGTGAACTAATTTTTTAAAGGGTATTTTTATTGTATATTTACCTCATATATCTCAAGAGATCAAGGAAAATCTGAGTTCATAATAGCATTAATGCTTACAATTGTGATGCATCTCAGCTTACCACTTGTGATCAAACCACAAACCACTAAAAATGCTTGTTAACACCAGGTGTAAACAGGGCCTAAAGCATGCCTGACCTTCAGTGAGTAGAGCAGATGTTGAATTACAGATAAGGTGTTGGTCAGGGTGGTCCACTGGTTGACCCCATGAACACAGTGTTGATGGGGGGAAGCGACGACATCATTTCTCTGATCTCTGTGGCTCCCTGGAGAGGCAGCAGTGTGTTTTGGGAGTGATAAGGGGCAGGGGCTCCATACATGCAGGGCGCTGAGACCGAGCAGGAGTGAGCAATGCTGGATCCTGAAAAGGAGGAAGAAACCGAGTTAGACTGTAATGGCAGGTATTTTAGAATAAAAGTATTAGCCCTCCTGTATGTTTTTTCCCCAATTTCTGTTTAAAGGAGAGATTTTTTAACACATTTCTAATCATAATAGATTTAATAACTCATTTCTAATAACTCATTTCTTTTATCTTTGAAACGATGACAGTAAATAATGTTACAAGATATTTTTTAAGATACTAGTATTCAGCTTAAGTGCAATTTAAAGGCTTAACTAGGTTAACTAGGCAAGTAATTACGCAAGTTATTGTATAATGATGGTTTGTTCTTTAGACAAACAAGAAAGAAAGAAAATATAGCTTAAGGGGGCTACTAATTTTGACCCTAAAATGGTTTTAAAATAATTAAAACTGCTTTCATTCTAGTCGAAATAAAATGAATAAGACTTTCTCCAGAAGAAAAAATATTATCGGAAATACTGTGAACATTTCCTTGCTCCATTAAATATCACATATATCACATTTCAGAAATATTTAAAAAAGAATACATATTTCACATGAGGGCATATAATTTTGACTTATACAAATACAATGGTATATGGTAGACCGGGCCTATAGTTGTCATATTCTGTTATAACTACTGTAGTTTCTTGGCTAAAAAAAGCTATTGATCTTTGCCACTATTGCTTTAAATATGATAAAAGATATAGTTCATTTTACACACAATGAAAAGGGCAAGTTGTTACACTGGGAAACATTCAAATCTGTGTATTATAGAAGCTAAAATCTGATCATGGTTTTCCCAAAAATATTAATGAACTCATTTACATTAATAATTGGACATTTTTGAGTAAACCAGCATAATTAGAATGATGAATTCTAAATGAATGAACATAAACACAAAGGTTCTTTATTGACCTATTTGATTCCATAAAGAACTTTGAACCCACAAACGTCTCTTTGAAAAAATGTTCTTTAGATTTTTTTTAGAAATATTTTTCACAGTAAGCCTTTTTGGATCTGTTCAATAAAATTATCTAAATATTTTGTGGCCACTGAAAATGAAGTGATAAATGCCTTTTTTTAATTTCACAAATATGCCTGACAATATGCTTAAATATGCCTGACAAGATGTTTTGGGTATATAAATTATTGTGACACTGAATGACATTTTATGGTGTGCCTTTTATAAATCATGGTAAATATGAGTTGTTAGTGTTGTTGCAAAAAAATAGTTTTTCTTCCAGTTATTGTCTTGTTTCTAGTCCAAATATCTAAAAACTCTTAAATCAAGAAGCATTTTCTAGACAAGTAAAATAAATGTTGTTTTAGGAATATATACCTGGAGGGTAAATAAACTTGTTGTCAGTTTAAAGATTATTTTACTTACACCAAAGGCAGAAAATGTATCTTGTTTTAAGAAAAAGCTCACTTAATTTTGACTTATTATTTCTGAAAACAAAACAATATTTTTATTTGTCTAGTAAATGCTTTTGATTGAATATTTTTTAAATATTTGGACAAGAAACAAGACAAAAACTTCAAGAAAAGCAGTATTTTGTTTCAACAAAATGCGTCAACATGCCTTGACCTGATTACAATAAACACCTTATAATGATTGTTTCATTAACTGAATATTTATGAATATTTATCAGGGGTCGCCACAGTGCAATGAACCGCCAACTATTTCAGCATTTGTTTTAACACCCATACACTCTCATATTCACACACACACACATACACTATGGCCAATTTTGTTTACGCAATTCACCCATATCGCGTCTCTGGACTGTGGGGGAAGCCGGAGCACCCGGAGGACACCCACACCAACATGGGGAGAACATGCAAACTCCACACAGAAATGCCAACTGACCCAGCCAGGACTTGAACCAGTGACCTTCTTGCTGTGAGGCGACAGTGCTAACCACTGAGCTACCGTGCCCCCTACCTTATAATAATAATAATAAAAATAATAATACGTTTTTATTTGTATTACCCCCTTTCCTACATCACATGCAACTCAGCGTGCTTCACAAGCATAAACAAATATTAAAAACAACATTAATGTCAGGGAAATTATAGAAACAGATAAACAAATTCAGAAAAAAGTTTAAATTGGAACCAATTCTCGTTATCCCATAATTGACTGTGTAACTACCTGCAGGCTCCCCTAGAAGGATTGTTTTGCCCTGACCTGCTGTGTGTGTGCCCATTGCGGACAGTTCGGTGTAGTAAGGTCTTGTCTTCCTGCTGGTGTCGTCCAGGATGTTTAGAGGGTCGTGTGCTTCAGCGTAGGCCGAAACTGAGCGAATGCTGCTCACGCTGCTGATAACCGACACATGCTGATCGATAAATGTGCCCATCCTCGGAGCATCCACATAACCACTGCTGCTGCCGTAATATCCTGGACAGAAGAAAGATGAATGTTAAAGTTTCAATAGGAGCATCTGCAAACTAGTTTGAACCTTCTGTGCAGCATATTGATTTAATTAAAAGAGATAATAAATTTGGTACTTTTTCTTTGCATAGAAACATTACACTGTATTACACCAGCATTACACTGGTTGCCTGTGCACCAAAGGATAAATTTTAAGATTCTTTTATTAGTTTATAAAGCACTACACAACATGACACCTTCCTACATTTTCGACTGTTTAACAAAATATAATCCAAACCGTTTGCTACGCTCTTCTAGTGCTGGACTTTAAGAATTTTATCCTGTAAACCTGATGCGATCTGGCGGCACTTCTTTTAGCCATTATGCTCCAAAAATTTGGAACTGTCTCCCCCTTGAAGTGAAAGAATCCCCAAGTATTCATGTTTTTAAAAAGCGTGTTAAGACACATCTTTTTAAAATTGCGTATGATTAAACAAGTTTGTTAGGTGTACGCATTTTATCTATTTTGTTGTAGGTTTATGTATGTAATGTATGGTGTGTGCCTGCATATGTAAGGACTATTGTGTGTGTAATCATGTGGATATATACTTATATTTTGTGTACATGAATGCTTTTATTTCAGTATATGTGATAGGTTTTGTGGTCTATTTTAATGCTTTTGTTGTTGTTTGTGAGGCACTTTGAGTTGCATGTATGTTGGAAAAGTGCTACACAAATAAAGTTTATTATTATTATTATTATTATTAAAGACCAGTACATCTATTCTAACTGTTTTGCTAAAGTCTGAATGTGTTTGCGAAAATTCTGCTTAAGTTCAAACTGAGTTGTCCGGAAAGATAATTTGCCAGCAAGCATTTTTGTGTGTGTTTAAAGGAACACTAAATTTTTTTAAATAAATTAGGCTCATTTTGCAAGTCCCCTGGGTAAAAAGTTGAGTTTTATCATTTTTTTGGAATTCATTTAGCCGATCTTAGCTTAGCATAGATTTTTTAATCGGATTAGACCATTAGCATTTTACTGTAAAAATAATTTTGCCGTCAGAGTCTTTAATCAAATATCATGACTTTCTCTCTCCCTTGAAACAACTTTTCTTCACTTTAAATCACAATTTATGCTGTCGGGACTCTGGAGAGGATATCAGTGGTTGTCTTGTTCTGCTCTGAATTTGACCATTTGTTAATCTTTCTTTTTGTTAGCAACGTCTAAAATTATGCACCAACCTCCTTTCAGGACGGTTTCAATCGGATGTACATCACAGTAGAGGAAAATCTTAACTTCCAACTTTAATGCAAATATATAATCAGCCAATCACAGGACAGCAGCGGTGTATTTATGCTTGTAGAGATGATCTGCTTAAGTTCAAACTGAGTTGTCAGGAAAGATGACTTGCCAGTAAGCATTTTTGTGTGTGTGTTTAAAGGAACACTCTTCATTTATTTTTACAAATTAGGCTCGCTTTGCCCCCTGGTTAAAAAGTAGAGGTTTTTTTTAATTAGTTCAGATGATCTTCAGTCAAAAGCTAAGCCCTTTTAACTTAGCTTACCATAGATCATTGAATCGGATTAGACCATTAGCATTTCGCTGTAAAAATAATTTTGCCCTCATAGTCTTTAATCAAATATCATTACTTTTCTTCACTTTTAATCACATGTAATGCCTTTCGGGAGAGGATATCAGTGGTTGTCTCTTTTCTGCTCTGAATTTGACCATTTGTTAATCTTTTTTTTTTAGCAACGTCTACCTTTCAACAAATCAATCAGTTTCCAAAGGACAAACTTATGCACCGCCCTTCTTTTTTCCTAATTTCAGGACGGTTTTAATCGGGTGTACGTCACAGTAGAGAAAAAGGACAATTTTATCTTCCACTTCATGACAGCTTTAATGTAAATATCTAATCAGCCAACTAGAGATAATCTGCTAAAGTTCAAACTGAGTTGTCAGGAAAGATGATTTGGAAGCAAGCATTTTTTGTGTGTTTAAAGCAACACTCTACATTCTGTTAGAGCCGTTAGGCTCATTTTGCAATCTTCCTCAGTTTTGTTAGCAACACCCATCTTCCAACAATCCAATTGGACAAAGGACAAAATGCACCGCCCTCCCTTTTTTTCTAATTTCTGGATGGTTTCAATCGGATGTACATCGCAGCAAAAGAAAGACAATCTTGATTTCCTACTTTAATGTAAATATCTTATCAGCAAATCCCAGGACAGCAGTAGTGTATTTAGGCTTGTTGAGGAGATCTACTTAAGTTCAAACTGAGTTGTCAGGAAAGATGATTTGACAGCAAGCATTTTTGTTTAAAGGTATACTTTTTTTTTTTTTACAAATCAGGCTCATTTTTGCAAGTCCCCTGGTTAAAAAGTTGAGTTTTATTTATTTGTTTATCCACTCAGCTGATCTCCAGTCAAAAGCAGTTTTAGCTTAGCTTACCATACACCATTGAATTGTATTAGACATAAATCGTATTTGTTGATTCCAATCGGATGTACATCACAGTAAAAAAGGACAATCTTAACTTCCGACTTATATATATATATAATTTTTATATATAGTTAATTTAATTTAAAATACTGTAGTTACTTTCCTAATTTGTTGTGATAACTGACAATGTTATTGGAAAAATGGCAACAATGTTATGAGGTTTTGAATAAACAGATGCATAGTGTAGGTACTTTGTGATTATGCTTGGTCTTTCTTTGGTGCTGTTAAAAACATCATCAAACCTGCAGCTCTTTTATGATATGCTAGTAAATCCCATTTTAAACCGAAAATCACAATTTTGATCAGATAAATCGCAATTAGATTTTTTTCTCTAAAGCATCACAGCCCTACTATTATGTTTAAAAATCCATTAAATACCATCTGCAGAATTTGCAGTTTACAATAAAAAAATATGCATTCAAAAAAATAATTTCAGATTTTCTCACCACTGTGTCCAGAGCTGCAAACCGGACCCGAACATCCATCAGCAGCTCCAGTCGTTCCTCCAAAGCCAAACCCTGAGGACTCCAGCATCTGAACGGCTTCAGTCTCCATCCCAGCATCACCTGCAGCTGTGTATCCACCCGACGAGCCCCTGGTTCCGTATGGAGATGCCGTGCAGCTGTTACTGAAGCAGTCTTTGCTCAGGTGATGTCCAGAGAAAGCGTAGCGTCCGCTTTCTGTGTGTGTCTGCGTTCTGAACATCGGCTGGTAGTACGAGGCGTTTGGGTAGGAGCCAGATGGAGGATTGTGGAGGCTCTGGTAGAGGGGCTCGGGGAAGGTCTGGCAGGGCAGCTGCCCCTGGATAGGGCAGCTGGTTTGTGGACGCATCGCCATCGGACCCTGGTTGATCACACTACTGCGGTTCATCATGGCAGGAGAGATCGGAGGGGTCATCAGAGGAGCACTGTTCTGGGAAAAATCCATCTGACCTGCAAATATATAGTTGAGGTCAGAATTTTTTATTTTTTCAAATATTTCCCAAATGATTTTAAACAGAGCAAGCAATATTTCACAGTATTTCCTATCATATTTTTTCTTCTGGAGAAAGTCTTGTTTGTTTTATTTGGGCTAGAATAAAAGCCGTTTTTAATTATTTTAAAACCATTTTAAGGTCAATGGTATAAGCCCCCTTAAGAACTTTTTTTTTTTTGTTTGTTTACAGAAAAAAACACTGTTATACAAGGACTTGCCTAATTACTCTAACTCGCCTAGTTAACCTAATTAACCTAGTTAAGCCTTTAAATGTGACTTTAAGCTGAATAATAGTATCTTAAAAAATATCCAGTCAAATATTATGTACTGTCGTCATGGCAAAGGTAAAATAAATGAGTTATTAAATTAGTTATTACAACTATTATGTTTAGAAATGTGTTGGAAAAAATTTTTATTTTCGTTGAACAGAAATTGGGGGAAAAAAATTAATGAGGGCTAATTATTCTCACTTTAATTGTACAGTATGTTATATAATAACTTAAAAATAGAGGATAGATTTAAATGATATACTACATTATTGATGTTGATGATGATAATAATGCTCATATTTGTGTAAATATTAAGTAGCCATTAAGAGTTTCTATCATGTCTCATTCTCAAAAAGGTTGCATATATATAATTGTATTAACGAATTAATTTTGTTTTTGCCATGATGACAGCACATTTTTACTAGTTATTTTACAAGATAGTAGTATTCAGCTAAACGTGTGATTTAATTTAATAAATTTACTTGATTTGGTTGGGGTCCGAATTTGGCATCAGCATCATTAAAGCGTGGATCCATCCTGCCTTGTATCAACAGTTCAGGCTGGTAGTGGTGGTGTAATAGTGTGGGGGATATTTTCTTTGCACACTTTGCACCCATTAGTACCAATTGTACATTGTGTCAACGTCACAGCCAACCTGTGTATTATTGCTGACCATATCCATCCCTTCATGTCCACAGTGTACCCATCTTCTGAAAACTACTTCCATCTCAGACTGGTTTCTTGAACATTACAATGAGTTCACTGTACTCAAATGGCCTCCACTGTAACCAGTTTTCAATCCAATAAAGCACATTGGGATGTGGTGGAGATTTGCATCATGGATGTGTAGCCGACAAATCTGCAGCAACTGCGTAATGCTGTCATGTCAATATGGACCAAAATCTCTGAGGAATATTTCCAGTACCTTGTTGAATCTCCGCCACAAAGGATTAAGGCAGTTCTGAAGGCAAAAGGGGGTCCAACCTGGTACTAGTAGGGAGTAGCTAATAAAGTGGCCAGGGAGTATTTTTGAATTTCCTTTTTATTCCAGTCAAAGTAAAAGAAACAAAACTTTCTCCAGAGGAAAAATTCTAAGTATAATATATTTGTCTTCTAATATAGACATTTTAAATATTTAATTTATTATAAAATCTGGTTCTTTTGTAACTTTTATAGAAATAAAAAAAATTCATAGAAATAATTCCAGCATTTTAAGCAGCAAATCAGCATATTAGAATGTTTTCAGAAAGATCATGCAGCACTGAAGACTTCAATAATGTGTCAACTTTAAATAAAGTACATATAAATAAAATACTCTATATTAGAAATAGAATAGAGAACAGTTATTTTGAATTGTAAAAATATTTTACAGTATTGTATTTCAATTAAATTAAATTAAATGAATGTAGCATTTGTGAGGACAAGAGATGTCTTTCAAAAACACTAAACATGTCAAGGCATTCATTCATTTTCCTTCGGCTTAATCCCTTATTTATCAGAGGTTGCCACAGCGGATTGAACTGCCAAATATTGGAGCATATGTTTTATGCAGTGGATGCCCTTCCATTAATGGCCAATTTAGTTCATCCAATTCACCAAAACCATGTCTTTGGACAGTGGGGTGAAACCGGAGCACCCGGAGGAAACCCACACCAACACGGGGAGAACAGGCAAACTCCACACAAAAATGCCAACTGACCCAGTCGGGACTCGAACCAGTGACCTTCTTGCCATGAGGCAACAGTGCTAACACCTAAGCCACCGTGCCACCACAATGTAATTATATTTCAAATAAAATTCAACTTTTCCCACAGATGAGTTGCTGATGGAAGGGCATCTGCTGCGTAAAAACTTACTGGATAAGTTGGCGGTTCATTCTGCTGTGGCAACCCTGGATTAATAAAGGGACTAAGCCGACAAGAAAATGAATGAATGAATGAATGAATGAATACAATTCAACTGTATATTAAATATGCAATGTCTGTGATTGATGTGAGCTGTTATGTTTCAGTACCAGCTATAGTAAAGTTGTCCGGATCTGCGCTATGGTAGACGACAGTGCCGGCCCCGAGCCCCTGCTGTGCTGCTGCCAGTGTCAGATAATCATCTTCTGGAGGAATTTCATCTTTCACAGCCGAATCACTGGACGACACACCAGGTTTATTCCGATTGGCCAAGAAACAGGAACTCGGGGAGGCGGTGAATGTGGCCTTACTAGCATCTTTTACAATGGAAACATCACAGTTAATTGGGTTTGTAAGCAATTTATACTTTTATACAGCAAGGATGCATTGAATGAATCAACAAGTGACATTAAAGAGACTTATAGTGTTACAAAAGATGTCTATTTCAAATAAATGTGGTTAAAAATTTCCGTTTATCAAAAAGTGCTTAAAAATGTTATATGATTTCTACTTAAATATTAGGCAGCACAACTGTGAGGTGATATACTGTAGTAATAATATATTTAGCCTTGCTAAACATAACAGGATTTCAAAACTGACAAAAAATTAGAGCTGTTCAAGGGTTAATCATCACTAGTCAAAGACAAAAAGGGTTTATATTTACTTAATATATGTGTGTACTGTATATATCAATTATGTATATATAAACACACATATACGTATATATATTTTAAAATATTTACATATTATATTTTATATAATGTTATTTTATATATAAATACAATTTATTATTATTATTAATATAATAATAATTTTCTATACACACTGTTCTGTGTTTTGTGGTTCATGTTTTATTTCCCCCCAATAATTTATGCTTTTGGATTGCATTATAGGACCTTAATCTTTTTTCCAACTACTTTTGACTTTGAAAACTTCCAAAAAGTGGCTTTTATTAACATTTTAAACATATATTATTTTATAATATTATTTTATAGACTTATTTCTGTACATGTATAATTTAAAACGACTAAAATGTCAATAAAAGTCAATAAAAGAGTTGAATTTTCAACATCAAAAGTTGACAAAGCAGAGATCAAGGTCCCATATTGCAATACAGAAAATGTTTGTGAATGACAGAATACGGAAACTGTTAATATGTACAAATACATGCATTTATACACATAAAATTGAAGTCAGAATTATTAGCCCCCCTGTTTATTTTTTCCCCAATTTCTGTTTAATACAGAGATTTTTTTTCAACACATTTCTAAACAGGATAGTTTTAATAAATCATTTCTAATAACTGAATTATCTTATCTTTGCCATGATGACAGTAAATAATATTTGATTAGATATTTTTCAAGACACTTCGATACAGCTTAAAGTGACATTTAATGGCTTAACTAGGTTAATTAGGGTAATAAAGCAGGATAGTGTAATTAGGCAGGTTATTGTATAATGATGGTTTGTTCTGTAGATCATCAATAAATACATAGCTTAAAGAAGCTAATAATTTTGACCTTAAAATGTTTTTTAAAAAAAATAAAAACTGTTTTTATTCTAGCTGAAATAGAACAAATAAGACTTTCCCCAGAAAAAAAAATATTATCAGACATGCTGTGAAAATTTCCTTGATCTGTTAAACATCATTTGGGAAATATTTAAAAAAGAAAACAATTGAAGGGGGGCTAATAATTCTGACTTCAACTGTACATGGATGTATACACTGTAATAAATATACACAGTTCGAACAAAAATGTAAATGCAAACTTCTATGTTGTATGCGATTAGGTAATTTAATCATTTAACAGCACTACTTTTAATACTTTTTAATAAACTTTAAAAAAATAAGAAATAATTGAATACCTGCACTCCTCATATATTTTTCCAGTAGATTCTGAAGGTCTTGCTCTTTGTCATTGTTGAATTGGGTTTCAATGGCCAGTAGGATATACTCATCCAAAAGCATCCGAATGAGGTGAAATGAGCCTGTGAGTAACATTAAACTAGATTAAATAGTGTTATATGTATTGCAAAAATCACTTCCTGAATCTTAAAGAGACAGTTCACCCAAAACTGAACAGTTTGTCATTATTTACTCACCCTTCACCAACTTTTTGAGTTTCTTTCTTCTGTTGAAGACAAGGGAAAGATATTTTGAAGAAATCTGGAAACCTGTAACCATTGATTTACATGATATTAGTTTTCTTACAATGGGAGTCAATGGTTACAGGTTTTTCAGCTTTTTTCAAAGTATCTTCTTTATTCTTTGACAGAATAAAGAAACTCATAAAGATTTGGAACCTGTTTACTGTAGGGTGACTAAATAGGGAGTAAATTGTTAATTTTTGTCAACTATCCCTTTAAGTGAAAAGCACTCATGCTGCACAACAAACACATTGAAATTTAAATCATTAATCACAAACTAACCATTTTTTACATTGTACCAGGCCATTAATATATACAATCACTACATTGGTTACGTTGATTTAGTTTCTATTTGCCTGAGACTCAATCTTCAACAAACTGCACTTCATGTTCCATGAAAGATGCTAGCATTTGCCTGTAAGCATTGAAAGCCTATGTCTGACCATGCATATCACAATCCACAGCCACTCCTCCTGAACTCCCACTAGAAAACATCACTGCAATATATCACATAGCATTCAGCGGAGAGAAAACTTTATAGTACAGTTAGTTATTGTAAAACCAAACTTTTAAATGAAGGTCAGATATTTGCTCGCCATTTCTCTGTCTGAACCATCCCGGCAGGCACACAACATCATAAGACGTTAATATTAGGTTAGATTTAAGTCGTGACATCAGGTGACCATAAGTCAAATGTCTAGTTAGTGTCTAATTTTGATATAATAAAGGCGTCAAATTAACGTTGATATTTGGTTGATTTTATGGAGCCAACATAATAAACCAACATCATATAGATGTCAAATACATATTCATCAGGTACCAAAATCCTGACGTATTCGTCAGGTACCAAAATCCTGACGCAGTTGCTGCAGATTTGTCGGCTGCACATCCATGATGCATATCTCCACCACATCCCAAAGTGCTTTATTGGATTGAGAACTGGTTACCGTTAAGGCCATTTGAGTACAGTGAACTCTATGTAATGTTTAAGAAGCCAGTCTGAGATGATTTATGACATAGCATGTTATCCTGCTGGAAGTAGACAATGTTAAGCTGTATCATCATAGGACGTTGATATTTAATTGATTTTAGGTTGGACGTTGGACATTGATGTCGGCCTTAAATTAAGTTCTGAATTTAACCCGATTTTCAATTACAAAAAAAATGCAACTTCCCCACAAAGTTGGTGTACAAAGTCAATTTGACGTCATGATGATGTCCTGTGCCTGCTGGCATGACTGTGAATGTGCCAATGATTTAGTCCTTTCTGTGCGAACCGTGTGCGCAGAGTCATTCATTTATATATTTATATATAGACCCTTTTCAAATTTCCGTGTTTCCCAGTAGCTTAAGACGTCATAGCTGGGTAAACTTAGAGAGCAGTGAATGGGAGAGTACAACAAATATTTTTTTTGTTCACAAAAGTATTTACTGAAGCAATAAAAGAAAATCTCCACGATGGTGTTATAAAGACTTTCAGAAAAAGGAAGCAAATGTGCAAGACTGATAACCGCAGTCAGAGGAGAGAATAACATCAAAATTTACTCTAAGCCCCATAGATGCTTCATTAGAAACACCTCGCACAAGCGGTAATTTGTTTTTTTGTAATTTGACCCAAAGATGATATAATGCATTCATAAACGCATAGAAATGTTTTTAAGTAAAAAAAAAATCTAAATATTAAAAATATTCAAGGATTTAAGATCATGATGACTGTTAAACTCGTCATAACAGGCTTGTGAAAAGGGTCCATTAGCCTATTGTAATGTTCTGACCGAATGTTTTTACTGGACAAACTTTTCTTTGTCCTACACCAATGGTCTCAAACTCAATTCCTGGAGGGCTGCAGGTCTTCATAGTTCAGCTCCAACCACTTCCAACTCACACCTGCTTAACAGTCTCTAGTAGTCTTGAACACCTTGATTAGTTGGATCAGCTGTGTTTGATTAGGGTTGGAGTAAAACTGTGCAGAGCTGCGGCCCTCCAGAAATTCAGTTTGAGATCCATGACCTACACCTTCCACAGAACCCATAATAAAATACATATATAAATACATGATTGCTATCAGGATGTTTAGAGACTTTTAACCAACATAACAAAATGGTTTTGAAGAGTTTGCACCTTTAAAGAGGACCTATTATGAAAACAGTCACTGTTATAAGGTGTTTCAACACAGTTGTGTGGCAACAGTCTGTGTATATAACTAGCTTCTGATAGTAAAAATGTATTAATTATATTTTTTTATAATCACACTTGATAAACACAGTCTGCAGAAACACTATGATTGACATTCTCCCTTTGTACGTGTCATTAGAGGGGAAAAGCCCCGCCCATTAGTGACAATCTCTCCCTCAATATCATAGACAGCCCTGAGTGTGAAGCAGCCGCCTGCCATTAGAGTTTTGAAACTGCCACTTAATGCCTAGTTCACACTAGAGGATTTTAAGCCTGATTTGAGCCCGATTTGGAAGTTAACGAGCTCGCCGACAGATCGGGCTGTGATCGGGAAGAAATCTGCGGGTGCTCGGCGCTCGCCGCTCTTTATGTGTGAACTACTGAGCAACGCATCAACGAGGCTCGCTGACGCGTCGCCGACACCTCGCAGACGGAAATCCAACATTCAGCATGCTAAATATTCCAGAGCAGTCAGCCGACTCAACCCCACGTGTGGTCAGATGTGACGATAGTGACGAACTACAGCCAATGAGAGAGCATATCAGCATGAGCTGAATGGCTGTGTGTTCAGGAGCTCAGCAGAAACATCTGTGATTGGTCAGAATGGGCATCGGTGCACTCGCTTCATTCTGCGTTAGCACAGACATGAGAGTAGGCTATATTAACAGTGGAACTAGAATTCTGTAATTATTAGAATTACCATACTGCTCATTCTGACCGTTCTCATATGAAACGCCATATTGTCACAACATATTTACATTCAAAGCTATTATTGAGATGTTAAAATTAAGCTTTGAATGTCTGGCATCATATTTAATGACACCATTACCCTAAAAATATAATCTTTTTTTGGTAATACAGCCTATAAATATGTAGTTAAGATACTAAAACACTTAAAGGTCTTGGCTTTCATTTTCACTTTCAAACAGGAGCTATTTCACAGCACATAATATGCTGTTTTTAAAGATATCTAAAGTAAATTGATGTTTTTGCCAGCAGAAAGTTTTGTTTATGTTAGCAGGAAGTTGCCAGGCAAGAAAATGCACACATATTTAAAGTCACAGTGAAAAGTATCAGACATGCATGCAGTCATTTTAACCAATATGGTAATTTAAGGCAGAAATGCTCAGTTCTTTACTGTTTTGTAATAAAAAAAATAACAATGTTAGAAAGAAATACACTGATAGTTAGAAAATGGCAGGGTGTTATAAATATGTTAGTTTTATTTCAAAGAGTTATAAAATTACAAAAATTAAAAACTCTCTGTGTATCTATCCACTCAAACCTTGCAGATAAGTGATTAATCCGCTGATATATCAGCTGATTTGACGATGTTTTTAAATGCTTTCTCCAAAGCTTGAAAAGCTGTCAGTGATGTAATCTGCACACAAGCAGCCAATAGTGTTCAGCTTTTTTCTGACGACTCCTCCCTCAAATTTTCATTGGCTGTGGTTTGGTAGCTTGAATGAGCTGATGGGGAATGAGTTGTTGTCAGATCATGTAGTGTGTGACCCGCCTCTTGTGGATCGTTCACGGAGTGTTGCGTAGTGTGAACACCACAGAGATTAAAAGACACAAAGTCAGGTCATGTAGTGTGAACGGCACAGCGATCTGCTGATGTTTAAAATCCTGTAGTGTGAACTAGGCTTAAGTGACACAAAAGAGCTCCACCCTCTTTTGAAAAGAGCACAATCTCATTTGAATTTAAAGTGACAGTCACAAAACAGCGCAATTAGGATCAAAGCCTCAAAGGGGCAGTTTCAAAGAGTTATAAAATATTATTTGTGTAGTACTTTGAGCTGAAACTGCACATACACATATTAGGGACATCAGAGACTTATTTTACATTTTGTAAAAAGGGGCATAATAGCGCTGCTTTAATTGAGACAAATCGTCACCTTGGAATTATAAGGTTCTATCCATGTTTTGAATGATTCTAAGATATTGAGCTTTAAAGTTTTTGCACTCCAAATAGCAAACAGTATGTGTGTAACATTTGTTTAAATAAAACGTCTTAAAATGTAAAACACAATGACATCTAAATGTCAGATAGAACCACACAATTCTAAGGTGACGAAATGTGCAATACACAACAGTGTAATGCCCCTGACTTGATTTTCCCACAGGTTTCCTCAAGCTAGTGCTGAGGACAAACACTGATGTTTGATTTTGTAAACACCTGTGGGGTCATCAAATATTAGGAGCACAGAGAAAGGTCGCTCCCTAATCAGGGCACACACACACGGCACACCAGATAAAGGTTTATTTGCATTGGCTTTTATGGCTCGTTCTCCACATAGGATCCACAACTAGAGAGGCAGAATAAATCTAATTGTAACTATAGAGAATTCAAAATGAGAAGTGAGCAAATCAGTTTATATGAATGAAGGTTTACCAAAGCTGGTCGCGTTGTTTAGAGTGAGGTTGTGCATCACTCGAGCGCCAAAAAAACTCCACTTCAGAAGGAAATCTTGAGCTCGCTTCTTTACAGATCGACCATTTTGCTTGCTGGGCTAAAAATACAGATAATTTGCAATTTATTATTCATATTTAAAGAGATAGTTCACCCAAAATTCTAAATTTGATTTGCTTGTTTTCAAACCTTCATGTGTTTCATGTGTTGAAAGATCACTTTACATTTTAAAACAATATATAGGCTTATTTTACAGCTCCCTAAGAGGTAAAGAGATGAGTTTTACAATTGTATTAATCCACATTAACAATCTTTAGGTCTGACAGGGGGACTTTGAGCTTAGCTTAGCTTAGCATAGATCATTGAATCAGATTAGACTATTGGCATCTTGTTTAAAAATGTACCAAAAAGTGTCCATAAATTTGTGTCCATATCTAAAAATATTTTTATATGCTCATTTTACTACTCTCCTAGAGGTAAACAGTTGAGTTTTACCATTTTTGAATACATTCAGCCAATCTTCATGGGCCTCATGTATCAACGCTGCGTACGCACAAAAACTTTGCGTACGCCAGGTTTCACGCTCAGAATCGCTCACGTTTGGATTTACTAACGATGAACTGAACGTGAGAATGTGCGCAGCTCCACGCCAGCTTTATGGCTGGAGTACGCACATTTTTTGTGCGTGTCTGTTTTATTTCCATTGGCGACTCCTAGAGGCAGTTGTGTTAAATTGCTCTCTACAAAGTGTCTGAGCCTTGCAATGGCAGCTGTATGAGATCTAGCAGGTATATAAGGTTTCCATACCATACAGTTGATCAGCCAAACATTAAAGCGCAATTTGCAGCGGTCGCCTGTTTTCCCAATGTAATCTGAGCAATCTACTGCACGCACATTGTTATAAAGACACTATCTGAAGATGAATTTGCATGCGTGAATCAGAAACATTTCCATTCAATAAATGTGCAAATAAAATATGATGCACAGACTTATTAATGATTCCTACTTGTCTTTCTCGTGATAAATAGTTGGCAAAATCTGATATGTAGCGGGGGAAAAAAGAAGAATGAGTTCATCACACGCTGGATTCGAACCGAGTTCATGCTGGAACGTGTCAAAACACGTTGACAAGCGTTTTACGAGCTGCACCACTGAGACTGTTAAGGGTTCTGCAACATTTTAAACCTATAAACCACACTATTTCTTTTTTAAATCCACTCAGTGCAATGTTCAGACCCAACTGTGTTAACCGCATCAGCTAAACTCTCCCACTCTATTTTTTTTATTTTGTTGTTAATTCCGGAGAACAAACTTGCAAATAGCACCGTTTTTCTCCGGTCTACCTCCGAAAGGAGCACCTACAATTCACATTCTGTTCAAAGTTTCTCTTCTTGCTTGCTTTTGCCATTGCTTTTTCGTTGGGTTTTGCCAAAGTAGAGATATTAGCATATTCATACGGGGGAGGAGGCAGGGAGGGGTTTTGTGCTCGTGCATGTTGCGCTCAGTTTCACGTTCATTCGATGTTCAAAAGAATATGCGTGAGATTCGGCGTACACAGTGTTTCATACATCTGAATTTTTTTCTGCGTACGCACATTTACAGCTTTGTGTGTACGCAATGTTGTAGTATGGTTTCCACGCAAGTCTTCGTACATGAGGCCCCAGGTCTGACAGGGGCACTTTTAGCTTAGCTTAGCATAGATCATTGAATCAGATTAGATCATTAGCATTTCAAAAATTTCAAAAAGGAGTTTTGATTATTTTTCTTTTTAAAGCTTGACTCTTCTGTAGTTAAATCCTGTACTAAGACTGATGGATTAATTAAAAGTTGCTATTTTCTAGGTCTATATGGATATGAACTATACTCATTCTGGCGTAATAATCAAAGAACTTTGTTGCTATACCGTGACTGCAGCAGGCGCAATGATATTCGATTCTAGCTGGTGGTGCAAGTGTAGGTCTTAGTACATGATGTATCTACAGAAGAGTCAAGCTTTTAAAAGGATAATTATTAAAATTCTGATCATTTGAGTGAAATGCTAATAGTCTAATCTGATTCGATGATGTATGCTAAGCTACGCTAAAAGTGCTCCTGTCAGATATAGAGATATACAGCTTAATGAATTCAAAAATGTTAAAACTAAACTGTGTAAACTCTCTGGGACTTGTTTTGGCCTGTGTTCCTTTTAACACAAAAGAAGATATTTTGAAGAAAGTTGGAAATCTGTAACCAAGTTTTTGTTTTTCCTACTATGGACATCAATGGTTACAGATGTTAAGCATTCTTCAAAATATCTTCAACAAAATAAAGAAACTCATAGGGTTTGAAAGCAACTCAGGGTGAGTAAAAAGTGAGTCAATTTTCATATAAGGGTGAACTATCCATTTAACATTAGCCTGACTAATAAGAGTTTGTGACAGAACAAACCTTGATGACTTTCTGCTCCACCACTGAGTCCAGCCACTCAATGAAAGACTCTACTGTAGCATTTTTCCTCAGGAGGTCTTTCAACTCTTGAAACACTGAAATTGAGTCATCTAAGAGAAAATATCAAGAACTTATGAGCTTAATAATCACATGAGTGCACAATTTTCACTACTGAATTGCCAGTTACTTACATTCAGAGTAGAAGTCAGAATCTTGGTCATTAGTAACTGAAAGAAGAGCTTGAGACCCGATGCTGTTCAGATCCACTTTATCGATATCATTTACCATAGATGTCACTACAATCTGGTCAAAAAGGGCAGGTCTTGCGATCTGAAATGATATATTAAATCCATTAGAAGGTTCGTGCCCAAATTAAATTCAATTAAAACAATTGATTTTATAGTATACAGTATACAGCTGAAGTTGTTCGCCCCCCTTTGAATTTTTGTTTCTTTTTTAAATATGTCCCAAATTATGTTTAACAGATTCGGAAATGTTTACAGTTTTTCCTATAATAATTTTTCTTCAGGAGAAAATCTTATTTGTTTTATTTTGACTAGAATGAAAGCAGTTTTGAATTTTTTAAAAACATTTTAAGGTCAAAATTACTAGCCCCCTTAAGCTAATTGTTTCGATAGTCTACAGAACAAACCATTGTTATACAATAACTTGCCTAATTACACTAACCTGCCTAGTTAACCTAATTAAACTAGTTAAGCCTTTAAATGTCACTTTACACAATATAGAAGTGTCTTGGAATTTTTTTTTTAATTATTTGACTAGATATTATTTATATTATTCATATTCATTTTCAGTTGGCTGTCCCTTATTTAGATTCAAAACGTTTTGTAAAAATAAAATAATGCCAAATTAATACAAAAACAATTTATGTAAAAAGTTAGATATACTTATCCCAACTTGAACCCAAAGCAATATCTAAATGTTAAGAAGTCTTGCTAAAAGTTTTTATACTTTAAAATGCCTTAAAAATGAGTTTGTTTATTTATTTATTTAAAAAGGAGTAAAACCTAGTGGATTTAAGAATAGCAACAAAATGTAAAACAACAAATTATTGATATTTTGAGGCTGGAAAGATTTTGCAATAAAGTTCCATTAGTTAATGTTAGTATATGTATTTACTAATATGAACAAACAATAAACATGTATTACAGTATTTATTCATCTTATTATAGTATTTATTCATGTTTGATAATGTTAGTTAATGAAAATATTTATGTAAATCCACCGGTCCAACTGCACCCCTCCCGTTCTGAGCTGAGATAGAACAGGCGATTCTTTGTATGGGAGTCGGTTGCTCTAACAAGGAGACTAAAGACCATGGCCTCTAGCGTCTGTTGCTTGAGCACTTTTAAATGTCAGAAGAGTGAGGTTTACCTGTATAGCCCTTCACTAGCTGGCCTCCGTTACACTCACACCCTAAACCTCATGACCCTTCGTTACATATAGATTTGTATTGTATTTTATTATAGTTTTTAAAACTTATGGATGTATATTTTTGGCTCAGAAAACAACATTAAACATTTTATTGTACAATAGAAATAAAATTACATAAGTATAATGTAAATCATTTTTAAATATTAAACCAAATCAAGAATTATAGAAGTGTCTGTACCTGTGCGAGATGTAAAAATGAGGTCTGTCTCTTTAAGGACGACACAAATCGTCTTGCTATCGGCACTTTCTTCTCTGAGAGGATTTCTGGGAGATTCTCCAAGGAAGACAGCATCCAGTGTTCCCAGTGCTTGGCAAAATTTCGAATATCTGCCAAAAGACTGGAGATATTTTCTTAAACTCACTCAAAAATGCTTAACGATATCACATTTCACACCTGCAGGAAAACCAAATGATAAATAATGCAGCAGTTTATTAGACAAACCTCTCCGGCATATCCTGCATAGTAGCGGGAATGAGAACATCTGTCAGAACCTGTGAAAAACAATTCAGATAAAATTTGATAAGGGAATAGTGATTATGATCCATAATGAAAACAATGATTGGTTCTGATGGAAAAAGCTGATTTTACAACAGCTCATGCAAATTGTGAAAGAACAGAGCTGAAAAGGCATATGCTCTGTGATTTTTGCTGCTGGCCTTATTGCACATGGATTTGTATGAGTTTTCATTTCAGATACAATACTTATGCGAGGAGAGTATTTAAAATGATCACCAAATGCAGTTTATTATAAAGCTTTATACTTATAAATGTCTTATAGTCCACTGTAGAAATGATGTTACAAAGTGATGAAAACAAATGTTTCAAATGTTTCACTTTAAAATAGTTGAAGCCTGATTAACTGATTAATATTAGTTAAAATTATATAAAGTTTACCTTAATACTTTTAGTCAGTTTGAGTGATGGAAGTTGAGTTGACTTTAAAAGTTCCTTTAATTCAACAACAGAAAAGGAGGTACAAGGATTTTTTACAGTGTAGGTTCACACCCAGGCCCGGATTGGCTAATAGGGAGGACCGGGAGAATTCCCGGTGGGCCGATCTGTTTTTTGGCCGCGAGGGCCGGTGTCCCTAGCTGCTTGCACTCTCAGCAGTCGCACTTTTATTCATTTATTTATTTATTTGACCATAGCCTCACTTTTTTTATTCATTGTTTTTCTGCAGCTCCATGCTTTTTATTTATTTTCTCGCAGCCCCAAGAGCAAAATGCAGCCTGCAGGTTAATGATGATGTAACTATCATCATTCGACCCCAAATAGCGGCACCTTAGTGAAAATAAGAATTCGAATAACTAATATTAATGAATATTACACCTGCTCAATGAAAATCAGATGATTCACTACATTAATACATCTGACATAACTTGATCAGAAATCTAAAAAGGGGAGAAAAAGATTAATAATAATATTGCCATTGTGGTCCAGTGGTCAGCACGTTGCGTTGTGACACAGCAAGACCCGAGTTCGGTCCTTACCTATCTTATTTTACATTTATTTATTTTTTCAATTTTTATTGTTAAGACATTTAATACTGTTTGGGTTGTTGAACATTTCAAGTTCTAAAGCAGCTGTTTCTTGAAAAAAATGTGATCGTGTCATTAGAAACTGAATTGGAAATGACCTTATTTAAATATAGTCAGTCGTCAACTGAGGTGGGCTGGTAAGGCTTGAAACTCCAGGGCTGAAAAGGAGTCCCACTCCGGCCCTGTTCACACCCAACATGTATTAATTTCAATTCTTTATTTCCAGAGCGTTTTTACAATGTAGATTGTGTCAAAGCAGCTCTACATAGAAGTTCTAGTAAACTGAAACTGTGTCAGTCCAGTTTTTAGTGTTGAAATTCAGTTCAGTTTAATTTCACTGCTGGAAAATCCACTGAAGAGTAAATCCATCATTGTGCAGCTCCACAAGTCCCAAGCATTAAGCCTTGCATCACTCTCTCTCGGTTACTCACAGCATGTTTTTTTTTTTCACTTGTGAGTTTTTTGTTCAAGTTTATTACAAATTCTGTGTGCATGAGGCAAATTCGTTCAAATGCATGCATTATTCATGACACCATGTAAAAATGTGCCTCAATTTGGGCATTTCCATTGACTTTCTTTGTAACTTAGGTGTGTGGATACTTGCATTCGCATTTAGTGTGAACCCAGCATTAACACATTTAGCTCTTGTGTTCTTCGTAGTCCATTATAATTTATCTAGTGCTAGACATTATGAAAATATTACTGGTTTTTTTATTTTGCGTTGTGTTTAGATGTTTTACAAAACAGTTACATGCCCACTGGTGCTTTTAAGCTCTAATTCACTCATTTAAATCTGAATAAAAAAAAATGATCTAATTTTTTCATGGCTGTGCTTATATCCGCTTGTTAAGTTTGACGTCACGCAAAGCGCCTTCCAGGTCCAAGCGCTCTATTCGACTGAATGGGGAGACTCATGAAATGGTAATAATAAACGTTTGTAGGACATGGGTTCAAAAATAAAATCGAAATATATATAGCAAAAATAAATTATCAAGTTATAAAAGAACATGTCTACTATTTTTTTCAAAATTTTTTATGTAATTTTGACTTAAATATCAAGCACTGGGCATGTATTTCCTTTCCTAGAGTTTGGGGGGAAAAAATTATGTTTTATTTTTCAAAGATGGAATAAATTAAGTGACAGTAGCTGGGTTTCCATCCAAATGTGAAGCTAATCTTTTCAAATTTTGCAAAAAAAAGAAAAAAGAAGAAGAAATAAATCCCAGATGCAAATTACACCGTAAACCCAAATGTTGTCTTTACTTAATCATATAAAGTTGACTGAACATTACTTAAAATTTAGTATTTTGGTCCTGTAACCTAAAAATATGAGTTAATTTTACTTATATACAATGAAAATGCATAAACTTAAGATTTCAAGAATAGTAAGCTAAAAATCACAATTAATTCTTTGAAAAAAAATAGGTTGTTTTTAATATAGTCTTGACTGTAAAATTCTAAAATGTGCAACCTTTTAGTGCAAGGTCTTTTTTTTTAATCAGAAAACAAGGCTTCATGTATAATTATTCACCATAATGGGAAGAAAATGCTACTTGTTTTTCTTTTGAACATTTTTTCATAGTATATAATTACACACAGAGACACACACACTGAACTGAACAATTTAAGTATACTCTACCAAACCGGCAAGTTAAATAAACTTAAATATGCAAGTTTTGGGAGACTCAGTTGCTTAATTAAATTGAGGCATCGAGTTAACACAATTAATTTAGTTCAGTCAACTTATTAGGGTTTTCAGTGTAGATGCGTTTCCATCAAGTTGTGAGAGCAGCTGACTGTAGTATTGGTAACCTAGTAGCCAACAGTAAACAAAGCAAGTATAATAGATATAGCTGATTGGTCATATGGGCATAATGTTTGCTACGCCAGAGTGTAGTCTGCAAATGTACATGCAAATTATTCACATTAACCCTTTTTCACCAAATTCTCCTCAAGTGAGCATAAATTAAGGGATTTTTATTCAAAATCCGACATTTACATTGCTCGTTTCTCATGAAATACTTCAAAATGTGCATGATGGAAACAGGCTGGTGGAAACCCAGCTAGTAAAAACAAAAACCTTCAATACACAAAAGTTTTTTTTTTCTTCAGATATATGATTTTTGACTTTCTGTTCAATCATGTATAAGTATCATAATCAATGAAACACCCAGATATGATTCATAAACACTCACTTTATAAAGTATGGAGTCACACACACAGAAAATGTCCACAATAACTGGATTCTCCAGCAGTGGAAGGAGATGCTCAGGCATTCCCTGCCAGAAGTGAAGCAGAAAGTTCTGAATCTGGAAGAAAAATCAGATGATTAGAGTATTTTTTTTTTTTACTAAAATCTACATGCCGTTACAGGTTCTTCAAGAGCGTAAAATAGCACCTCCTCGAAGTTGACGTTAATGGCGTTGTCCAGAATGCACTGACAGTGAGTTTTGTACATCATAATCAGCGTGTCGACCTGACAGATAAGAAGAAGAACAGAATCTGAGGTAAGTAAGTCAATGCACTTCATGTATACAGTGTTTTTTACTGGAAATGAACAGACCTTTTCTTTTGAAACAGAGTCCTGAAGCACTAAATGCTGTGCACTTGGAAATTCGGGTAAAAGTGTTCCTGTTTTTGAACTAAGCGAGTATTTCCTGGTGAATCCTCCCTGTGAATAAAAAACCCAGATATATCAGTAAAATTACTACAGTGTAATAATGTTGTTAAAAGCAAAACATTACAATATTTTTTCTAACATATATACATTCAACAGCAACTTTATTAAGTACACCTGTCCAACTGTTTGTTAACACAGATTTCTTATCGGCCAATCACATGGCAGCAACTCAGTGCATTTAGGCATGTAGACATGGTCAAGACGATCTGCTGCAGTTTAAACCGAGCATCAGAATGGGGAAAGAAAGGTGATTTAATTGACCTTGAACATGAGATGGTTGAAAGTATTTCAGAAACTGCTGATATACTGGGATTTTCACACACAACCATCTCTAGGGTTTACAGAGAATGATCTAAAAAGAAAAAATATCCAGTGAGCGGCAGTTTTGTGGGTGCAAATGGCTTGTTTATGCCAGAGGTCAGAGAAGAAAGGCCAGACTGGTTCCCGCTAATAGAAAGGGAACAGTAACTCAAATAACCACTCGTTACAATCAAGGTACAGTATGGAGAAGAACATCTCTGAATGCACAACACTCGAACATTGAGGATGGGCTACAGCATCGGAAGACCACACCAGGTTCCACTCCTGTCAGCTAAGAACAGGAAACTGAGGCTACAATTCACACTGGCTCACCAAAATTGGACAATAGAAGATTGGAAAAAGTTGCCTGGTCTGATGAGTCTCGATTTCTGCTGCAACATTCAGATGGTAGGGTCAGAGTTTGGCGTCAACAACATGAAAGCATGACTCCATCCTGCCTTGTAACAATGGCTATGGCTGGTGGTGGTGGTGTAATAGTGTGGGAGGTATTTTCTTGGCACACTTTGGGCCCATTAGTACCAATTTAGCATCATGTCAATGCCACAGCCTACTTCCGTATTGTTGCTGACCATGTCCATTCCTTTAAGACCACAGTGTACCCATCTTCTGATGTCTCCTTCCAGCAGGATAATGTGTCATGTCATAAAGCACGAATCATCTCAGACTGGTTTCTTGAACATGACAATGAGTTCACTGTACTTAAATGGCCTCCACAGTCACCAGTTCTTAATCCAATAGAGCACATATGGGATGTGGTAGAAAGGGAGATTCGCATCATGGATGTGCAGACAAAAAATCTGCAGCAACTGCAAGATGCTATCAAGTCACTATGGACCAAAATCTCTGAAGAATATTTCCAGCACCTTGTTGAATCTATACCACAAAGGATTAAGGCAGTTCCGAAAGCAAAAGGGGGTCCAACCCGGTGCTAGTAAGGTGTACCTAATAAAGTGGCCACTTTTCTTTTTCAAATATTCCCCAAATAATGAACTTGCCTAGTTAATTAATCTAGTTAAGCCATTAAATTGCACTTTAAGCTGAATACTAGTATCTTTAAAAATATCTAGTAAAATATTATGCACTATTTTCATGGCAGAGATATAATAAATATTACTTAAGTATATTTGGAAACGTGTTGGGAAAAAAAAATCTTCTTTTTATTAAACACATATTGTGTAAAAATATACAGGGGGCTAATAATTCTGACTTTTACTGTATATTCAGCATATTCAGTTTCCTCTGAGAATTGTGATATTGTGTATGAAGTGTAGCACTTCAACTTTATGTACTAAATTATAAATACCAACCTCATTTTTCAGCTTGCTTCCAGAGAATCTGTGCAGAACACATAAGAGAATTTATAGATATGATAAAACATTATAAACCAAACATGAAATATAATTATTAGTTTCAAGAGATCTGATTTGTCTCTGCAAGGACAATGAAAAAAAATCCTTTCCAATTCACACACATATTTCAAAAACTTTCAAGGACTTGCGATAGGGCTCTGAATTACAGGTATGAAAGACTAACCGTGTCAGACCTTTCCCGGAGTAAACAGAGTGATAATATGCACTGCTCTCCTTGATTCCAATACCATAATAATGATACCTGAAAGTCATTCAAAAGCCAAACACAGGGATTTAGATGCAGGCATTTAAATAGTCGATTTAAAAAAAAGCACTAAATGATGTTTTTGAGTCAGAAACCTGGCCTATCTTACTTTGAATGGCCTCTGGTTCCAAGCCTTCGTGTTGTAAGAAGAGGAAATTTCTGCCTTATGGTCTAAAAAGACAGGAATAAAGCTCTAAAATGTTGTACAATCATTTGACATGCACCGCAAATACAAAATCAAAGGCTATTTATGTCTGCTAATGTACATATTACATAGTATATATATTAAAGTTCAGCCTTTTAGCAGGTCTTTATCAGCACTGAAGGTTCATGAAGGTTTCAGATATTAGATATTTAGATCATTTTAAAAATGGTCTGGCATATGTTAACACTTTAAATACATGAACACCACATTTTTTGTGGTTTTGGGGTTGGGAGACCTCTAGTCTCCTAGAGGTAACAGTTGACTTGAATCATTTTTTAATCCATTCAGCAGTTTTCTTAATTAGGCGAGCTCACTTTTAGCTTAGCTTAGCATGACGAATTGAATCTGAAGATTTTCCTATTTAAAGGTCACTTCTTCTGTAAAACAGGCCAATATTACTAGGGACTATACTCTTATTCTGGCGTAATAGTCAAGAAATTCTGCTGCTGTAGCTTCAAAACTCAAGCTTTAAACAGGAAAAATTATCCGATTTATTATGCTAAGCTAAGCTAAAAGCGACATGCCAGAATAAAAAAATCTGCTGATTGAACTCAAAAATGGTTCAGCTTATTTAAAATAAGTAGCTTAAACAAACATTAAACATCTATTTTTGAGTGTACATAGTTTGATTACTAAAATTTATTTAAAATGAAATTCCTTTGCTGTTACTTTTGATCAATTTAATATGACTTGGAAGGATAAAAAAAATAATCGTTTTATTTTTTTATATTTTCCAAATGATGTTTAACAAAGCAAGGAAATTTTCACAGTAAGTCTGATAATATTTTTTCTTCTGGAGAAAGTCTTATTTGTTTTATTTCAGCTAGGATAAAAGCAGTTTTAATTTTTTTAAGAAACATTTTTAGGTCAAAATTATTAGCTCCTTTAAGCTATATATTTTTTTTCGATAGTCTACAGAACAAACCATCGTTATACAATAAATTGCCTTGCCTAACTACCCTAACCTGCCTAGTTAACATAATTAACCTAGTTAAGCCTTTAAATGTCCCTTTAAGCTGTATAGAAGTGTCTTGAAAAATATCTAGTCAAATATTATTTACTGTCATCATGGCACAAAAAAAATATCAGTAATTAGAAATAAGTTATTTAAACTATTATGTTTAGACGTGTTGAAAAAAATCTTCTCTTCGTTAAACAGGGGAGCTAATTATTCAGGGGGGGTTAATTATTCTGATTGCAACTGTATGCATGTTAATAATATATTAGCTGTAATTTTATACATGTATTCATATATGGCCATATGAACATATACTGATATATTTGAACATATATGTACATGTATTTATTTATACATTTGTAATTCCAATGGTTGAAAAAAATATATGTAAATGGTCATTTTTGCAATATTGTGAAATATGTCTTGCATAAATGACATATATTTTATATATGCAAAATTTAAATACAAATGTATTACCTGGAATTAACTTATTTTCATAAATCAGATGGGTGAAAATAGGTTTGTAAAACTATAAAGCAGCATAACTGTTTTCAGAATTGATAATAATGGGACATATTTCTTTAGCATCAATTCATTACTGATAGATCATGTGACACCAAAGACAGGAGTAATGATGCTTAAAATTCAGCACTGAATCACACAAAAAAATTACATTTTACAATATATTCACATAGCAAACATATATTTAAAAAGTAAATAATATTTCACAATTTTTTAAATAATATTTCTGACCAAATTAGTGCAGTTTTGGTGACTAAAGGAGCATTGTAAAATCAAAATCAAATTAACCTTTTGAGTAACTTGAACTTGCATTATGTTAAACTAACTTAAACAGCTTGAATAACTTATAAAAATAAGTTAGAAGATGATTAACTTAGTTTAATAAGTTACAATTAACTAAAAGCATATGCGGTCATTACTAAGCGATCATATTTTTTTACAGTGAGTGCAATTCAAGAGATATATAAAATAATAAAATAAAAACGCCTCTTACCTTTCCGAAAGTGGCAGCACAAGCAGGATCTAATTTCTCCTTCCGACAAAAGTCTAAATAATGAGCGTAGAGGATGCACCGTGGCAGACAAACACCTTCACAAACTATGTAATTGTCCTCAAGCCTAATGAAACAAAACAATTGAAGCCCAAGCATACAGTATCAGCATTGCTTAGTTAAAAAAGAAAGTGCACAGAGAGAGTACCATTGTAAAGTAAGTTGGGTCTGCTTCTTCTTGTCCTTGATGATCTGACTGATGCTTTTCTTTGGCTGCGTTTGTTTCGCAGCGAATGGCTTGGAATAATCCAGATGGCCCAGGTCTTCTTCAGAGGAGATGCTTGCATTGCTTTCATCCGCTTCTGCCAAATGAATAACATACATAGCTTTCCAATTGTGTGACGTGTGTTAAAACTATTCATAACCCACCGGCGGCAGATTGAGAATTTGTAACAGCACTTTTTGAAAGAAAGCAATGCAGTAGTTTTGATTAAAGCCGCTTGGGAAACAATTTACAACAAAGATGACTTTCTCTACCTGATTTAATGCCAGAATCCTCCTCCTCGTCAAGCCTGGCTTTGAAAAACATGTTTTCTTGGTTAACAAGAATTGTCTCGTGGAGGTCATCTGCGTTTTTGCAAGCTCTCTTTGTCTGCGACGCCTGATAAAAAGCATCATTCTTCAGTGGACTCCCTATGTTTCTTTTCAGTGGCATGTTCAAGGAGAAATTAAAAAAAATAAATAACAAATCTGGAATGCTAAATTAAAACCACCAAGAAGACAACAATAACAACAATAAAAAAGTGCTAAAAAATTTGTTAAAACATTCCAAAATCTACACGGCCCATCTTAAGGTTTGGCAATGTGATGTCCATTCCTGAAATGATACGCATCTCCAAAAAAACAAGGCTAAAAAAAAAACATCTAAACAATGCATCAACTATGTGTGTTTTGCTATTCCTTGATTTCCACACTATAACAATAGACCCTGAGCACGACAGGAACTCTTTAAAGAAAAAAACACAAGATTAATCCTGTAAAAAGTTCATTAATCCGAGAATGGGTAAAGATAACACCTTCCAGTCTTAATTAAAGCTCTGCTCTCTCTGAAATGGTGCGTCACTGAGGTGAGTGCCTTAAGGCCATTTATCTTATTTACAGAAGACTGGCAATGGATTCTGGGATTTAATGATTAACCAAGAAGGATATCATCATCTCCTTCAAATCTGGAAAGCTCGGTTATAGACCGGCCTCCTCTGTTATGTTTTTGTCTTTTATTTATTTCCATTAAAACACTATATTTGGAATTTCTGGCTTTGTCTACAATACTGTAATAAATGCTAGGCTCCATACAATCCCTTCATGTCGATCCATTGCAAATCGATTAAGTTAACTTAATGCTTTTTACAATTTGAAGTTGCTTGAACACAAAAGAGTCATGACGAAAAGAACCCTCAAGAATTAGGTTGATTCAGCTGATTTTAAATAAATTGCTTGAAAAATCAGCACAAATTTAATTTAAGAGAATGGAAGAGAAGATACTGAGATGATGGTCTATTGTTATAGGCAGAGCTTTTTAAAATAATGTAGGATGACAATTGTCAAATTACTGGTAAAGATTGGTTATTAAGCTATTAATGAATTTTATTAATCTAAAAATGTGATTGTATGTTGATAATTTGTGATGATGTGCCCATTATTGCAACCGTTGAGTAAACAGTAAATCACTGTAAATGCAGGGTTCCACACCGTTCCTTCAGGTTGTCCTAAAACAAATCGATAAAGTTAACTTAATCATCATTTACAAATTTAAGATTGAACATGAAACAATTAAGTTGCAAATCGATAAAGTTAACTTAATGGTTTTTAAAATTTTAAGTGGATTAAACATAAAATTGTTTTGTTAAGCTTTTAAACAATTAGTTTGAACAAGCAGCAAAAATATTGTTTTAATTTGAATGGTGAAGAGAAGATACTGAGATGATGGTCTATTATGATAAGCATGAGCTTTTAAAAAATACATATTTAATATGACAATTGTCAAATTACACCAAGATTGAGGACATTAATAATCTGATACTGAATTTTGACTGAAGTTTGACTGTAGATTTTGATCATTTGTGATGATGTGTCCATTATTGCGACCGTTGAGTAAACTGTATATTATCACTGTTAAAAGTCAGGGGTTCCACACAATCCCTTCAGGTTGACCCAACACAAATCGATAAAGTTAACTTAATGGTTTTTACATATTTTAAGTGGATTGAACATAAAACAAATAAGTAGTTTAAACAAGCAGCAAAAGTGATCATAAGGATTGTATACTAATGAAAAAATCTTATGAAACTACATAAAGTATACAAAATAGCATAACTTTTAAGTTCTTTCGTTGCTTTCATATTTAAAAATAATATTAACAATTTTTCAGTTTTTTACTTGCATTAATATATTTCTATAATTTACATATATATATATATATATATATATATATATATATATATATATATATATATATATATATATATATATATATATATTTCTATTAATTTTAGTTAAGTGTATTAAAATAAACGAAAATGTGTTGGAAAATTGAAATGGAAAAATATGTTTTTGTATGGAACCAAGAAAGATAAAAAAAAAAAAATACGATGTACCTCAACAAACGATTTACAACCATCAGAATACATTTACATACATTTGATTCATTCATTTTCCTTCGGCTTACTCCATTATATTTATCAGGGGTCGCCACTGGAATGAACCGACAACTTATCCAGCATATGTTTTACACAGCAGATACCCTTCCAGCCGCAACCCAGTACTGAGAAACACCCATACACACTTATTCACACTCATACACTACAGCCAATTGAGTTCATCCAATTCACCTATAGCGCATGTCTTTGCACTGTGGGGAAAACACCTAAACCCTTTAGGGGAGCACCTAAAGGAAACCCATGCCAACACAGGGAGAAAAAGCAATCTCCACACAGAAATGCCAACTGGCCCAGCCAGAACTTGAACCAGGGACCTTCTTGCTGTGAGGCGACAGTGCTAACCACTAAGCCACCGTGCCACCCTCATTTACATTTTTATAGTATAAATATACATAACTATACTCAAGTATTTATAGTTCATCTTTAGGTGTCAGAAATTCTTGGAAAATTATGGGTGAACTTATAACAACATCTTCCAAAAAAAAGTATTAATATTTAATTTTTGTTCTAATAAATTTATGTCTGCTTAATGTCAGTCCATTGCATTATGAAACACTGATCAACTTTTGTTTAATTTTTTTTTAATGCAGGTAAAATAAGTGTATTTAGTTTTCATATGTAAAGGCCCAACTGACAGACTAAATAAATAAACAAATAATTAATACATTTGGACAGTCAGTATGCCCATTTGAGAAATACAGGTTTACGAGTAATGCCACAGTGGGTTTAATATTTATCAGATTTCATCTATCTTTATGTCTATCTGTGTGGGGTTCATGTATAATTATTTAATTCATTAAAAGGTCTGATTGTTGTATTAAAATGTAAAAAAGCAGTAACACCCAAAATGTTTATTCCCTCTTACTCGATGGTAGTTAAATATAATCTCGATTTAATTTAAAAGTATCACATTTCTACAGTTTAATAACCCATTCTGAATGCATCATGAGAGTTAAAATCGATGCAAAACAAACAAACCTACGACAAACATGTACACCATAAACATAATAACGGGCATCTTACCTGAGTGAGAGCATCTCCGGTCTTCTCTGAATTTCATTGGTTGAAATATGCAGGCTCCTGATTTGTCAAAGAGCACACCGTTCATTTTACAGCACGTGTCGAGGCCGAGCGATACACGGACAACATGGCGGGAGCAAAGATAATTTATTCGGACTTCAAGGTAAAACAAAAAAACAATTCAGTTTTGTTTGTGCAGGAATAATAATAATTGTCTGTAGACAATTACCAATTTGATTAATACTTAATAAAGCAGGTTTAAACATGCTGTGAGCTCGACAGATTGGACATCAGTGTAACGTTACCTCTTGCCATTTAGGAATAACGTTAACGTTAAACGATTAACACATTATGAAAAGCAAAAAGTTGTATAGCTTACAGACTTTTTATTCCGTTATTCTCCTATTCTGTTATTTGGGAGGTGCCACTACTAACGTTAGTCACAAAAATAGCAAGGTGCGTGCATTCGTCTGTCGGTAATGCAGACATAATAATCAGCTTACAGTATTATGTGGTGCTTTTGCAGATTTTTGGATCGGATATTAACGTTGTGTTTTGAAATGTGTGTTGTAATGCCGTTTCATTGGTGTGTTGACCTCCATCATCCCTTAATGTGGCAGATGTGCTTGACGTTAGTGCATGGACGTGTCCCAGAGCTGCATCGTTAGATTGGATTCATGTTCTTTGGAGAATAATGGAGAGGTAAGACTCATCCTGACTCATTATTCATATCGTGTTTCCGATGTTAGGCATAAATGAACGGGTTGTAAGGGGAAAATGGGCGGGAGGATTTTTTTTTTTTAACAATTATTGTTTTTTGCATTACAACGGGAAACGTTGCATTCACTTGAAAAATCGGTGAATTCCGCAACACTTCCTGTTCACTTTATGTTTTGCAGTTGTAGATCTCCCTACGTTCACTATGGAGGGTTTCATTGAGTTGGCCTATTTAAAAGACGATGATTTTCACCTAAAGTTAATTGACAACCTTCAGAATATTTTGTGACTAGGATTACATTACCGAATTATATAGCGAAATAAAAACCAGCCATTAAGTAGTGCATTTTAAAGATATATAATTCACACACACGGTTGTGTGAGTGTATGTCCATGTACGAGCAAACTTTTATTTGTATGCGAGTATGTTATGGGATCAAATTCACCCCTAAAAAGTCGTAGATGGAAAAATAATGCCCGTAAATCAAAATATTGACATTGTGTGAAAAATTTTAACGCGTAGAAGCGAAAACGCAGAATAAGAAATAATGAGGTCATGTACCAAAAGATAATGACCAATAATCAAAAATGAAAAGACTCATTTAGACTAGGCATTAACGTACAAGATTCTGATGGCATGATAACCTTGAATAAAAATATCATGGTATTGTGATGACTGCTCAAATATATTCTTTTTTAATGTCTGGTTAAAAAAACTTTTTCACCTTTGAAAACAATATATTTTATTATAATAAAGATTAATAATATTTTGGGGCAGTAAACTAGTCAGGCTAAATAATTCAAATGAATCATAGACTTCTGCTGTGTTCATTAGGTTCAAAAACACAGATTTCTTTACAATTTAAAACGGCATCTTTGGATATTTTTTTGCTGGAGATACTTTTGTCCTTAAAAACAAAAAAAAGGTAAATAAAAAATCTTACACATACCTTAGAAATGTTATTACAGAAAGTTTTGGTGGTTTTAAAATGTTATACCTTGAAAATTGATATCATCCCGTGCCTAGTTTAGACAAAGTTAGTTTTTCTGCTCATTCTGTGCTTGCGTTTCCAAAGCATGCTATGTGAGTTTGATTGACAACACAGGCTGGCTTCAGTGTCATCATTGATCCACTAGTCGAGATTGACAGTTGCTCCTTAGCCAATCAGGCGAAGGAGGAGTTGACGTCACTCCAATGCAACTCATGGCTGCTCTGTGTGATTGACGGGGATGTGTTTGTTTTCTTGCGTTTCAGATAAAAGACACCTGTCAGCGATTACAGGGGTTTCATGTTATATATGCACTGTAACTTCATATGACTGACCGTGATTTCGGGGAATTCATATCAATATAAACATTTATCCATGATCGCAGTGGTTTCATATAAATACTGTATTGTAATATAGCAGACACCCTGTAATCGCAGGGGTTTTATTAACCTTACTCTTCGTGTACCAGCGGGCGCAGCCATTTGAATCTTTTTGGTTTGAGACTTCCGGTCTCACTCACTTCCATTCACTCACAGACGTTGAAAACAGCTTGTTATGCTACTTGACGTTGCAAATTGATATTTTCTTATTATATTATTCTGCTTTGTCTGTATAGTCATGAACACATTTGTTTGTAGAGCGAGTAGTTTGACCGTTTTCTGTTGTTTATTTTTACTAGTCATTTCTTCCATAGGCAACTGAATCAGAAGTTATAAAACAAGTGCAATAACGTGCACACTTCCGCATTCAAGAATAAGGTCAATATAAATACTATACTGTAACTTCTGACACCTGTCTGTTGATCTGGCTTTGTCATAAATGTATTATTTTAAAGGTTCTCAAAAAAACAGCAAGAGAGGACTGCCTATAATGACATCATGCATTACAACATCATTTTTTCTTATGTTTTGTTATAGAAATACATATATAAAATGACACAGCCAGTAGATTGACCCTGCCATTACGGACAGACCCATCCGATACAGTATAAATGTTTATACTGATATGAATTCCCTGGAATCGACAGCTGTATGATGTTACTGTATACAGTGCATCTGGAAAGTATTCATAGCGCTTTACTTTTTCCACATTTTTTATGTTACAGCCTTTTTCCAAAATGGATTAAATTCATTTATTTCCTTAAAATTCTACACACAAAACCCCATAATGACAATATGCAAAAAGATTTTTTTTTAATTGTTACAAATTTATTAAAAATTAAAAACCTGAAAAATCACATGTACAGAAGTATTAACAGCCTTTGCTCAACATTTTGTTGATGCACCTTTGGCAACAATTACAGCCTCGAGGCTTTTTTAATATGACGCCACAAGCTTGGCACACCTGTCTTTGTGAATTTTTGCCCATTCCTCTATGCAGTACCTCTCAAGCTCTATTAGGTTGGATGGGAATCAACGATGTAAAGGCATTTTCAGATCTCTGCAGAGATGTTCAAAAAGATTTAGATCTGAGCTCTGGCTGGGCCACTCAAGGACATTCACAGAGTTGTTTTGAAGCCACTGCATTGATATTTTGGCGGTGTTTCGGGTTATTGTCCTGCTGGAAGATGAACCGTCGCCACAGAGGTCAAGCGCTCTCTGAAGCAGGTTTTTATTAAGGATGTCTCTGTACATGACTGTATTCATCTTTCCCTCTATCCTGACTAGTCTTCTAGTTCCTGCTGTTGAAAAACATCCCCACAGCATGATGCTGCCACCACCATGCTTCATGCTTCACTGTAAGGATGGTATTAGCCTGGTGATGAGCATTGCCTGGTTTTCTCCAAACGTAATGCCTGGTATTCACTCCAAAGAGTTCAATTTTAGTCTCATCATACCAGAGAATTACGTACGGTCAACTTAGAGCTTCACGGCAAAAGCTGTACATGTACATGTGGTTTTTCAGTTTTTTTTACATTTTTAATGAATTTGCAACAATTACAAAAAACTCTTTTGCACATTTTTTTTGTCATTATGGGGTTTTGTGTGTAGAATTTTGAGGAAATAAATTCATTTAATTCATTTTGGAATAAGGGTGTAACACAAAAATATGTGGAAAATGTGAAGCGCTATGAAAACTTTCCGGATGCAATGTATATAATATTATATGAATCCCCTGTGATCACTGACAGGTGTCTATTATATGAGACTCCAGGAAACAAACACATCCCCGCCTGTCACACGGAGCAGCCATGAGTTGCATTGGAGTGACGTCAACTCCTGTCAATCTCGACTAGTGGATCAATTATGACACTGAAGCCAGCTTGTGTTTTAAATAAAACCCTCATTGCATGTTTTGGAAATGCAAGCACAGAATGTGGGAGCAAGGGTGAAGGGGAAAAGGCTGTTAAAGCTCAAAACATTCAAATGGTTTGTACCTTCCTACCTTCTAAACTCATTAATCGTGGGGAAAGAATCACAAATATTGATAATTTTTATGTGCAATCATGCATGAACAAACTCTCATTTCCTGCCATTAAATGAATGATGTGCATTATGAATTCAGATTACAGTATATTAAGAAAAAAATTATCCTATTAACAAATATTTGCATATAACCAAGTAGATAAGTGCACAAATTAAACGAGCATTTGAATGACCTAGCCTATGCATCAAAACTTTACATTAGTAAAGTTACATTTTCAATTTTCAAAATTTCAGTCAAAAGTCATATGCATACAAAGACCAAATTTATTTGGTAAAAACAAATAGCATTAATATTCTGGATTAATTGTCTAGCCTATATGCAAAATAACTCCTCTATTAATACAACGCATTAGTTATGCAATAAGTTCATAGGTTTGAATGAAAAGTCCTGATGCTCAGCGATACACAGTGCTGTTAATTTTAATAACTAAAGGGTGCAGTTTAATATTTACAATTAAAAGCCTGATGCACATTCAACCTCTTTGGGTTTTATTGGACCATTAATGTAAACCAGGGGTCACCAAACATGTTCCTTGAGGGCGTGTCTCCTGCAGATTTTAGCACCAACGCTAATCAAACACACCTGAACAAGCTAATCACGGTCTTACTAGGTATACTTGAAACACCCCAGGTTTGTGTGTTGAGGCAAGTTGGAGCTAAACCCTGCAGGGCACCTTACCTCTAGGAACGAGATTGGTGACCCCTGCTGTAAACCATAGGGCTCAAACTTTATTCCTGGAGGGCTGCAGCTCTGCACTTTTAATCAAGCCCTAATCAAGCACAGCTGATCCAACTAATCAAGGTGTTCAAGACTACTAGGCTGTTTCTCAATTCCAAGAACGCAGAGAACGGACTTGCGTTCTTGTGGAGACCAGTCTTGCCAGGTGTCCTCGGAAGAACGAACTCAGGATACCGCGAGGGCAGAGAACGCGTCCTTTGAGAAATGAGATGCTGCATTCTTCCTGATGGTCACATGACCTTCACGCGTTTTAAATGGTAAATTATTTAAACGTTACAGCATTCATACAACGATTTATTGTTTTTCCCCTTTTCAAAATATATTTTTTTCATAAAAACATTAGAAATATACTCTGCACAATACAAATAAAACAGATTTTAATACAGATTTTAGCAAACAAACACCCTTAATGTGTTTATTACTTTATTAAGATGTTCAGGATGATGTTTACTTTCACCGTTTCATTTAGGGAAACTCCTGAGGTAAATAAATGATATCTCTGATCTTTAAATAGAAAATCTACATAAAATGCAGCGGTTCCCACCTCCAGTCGCAATGACTTCTGGGACTTCTAGAGCCAGTTCGATGCTCAAGTCTGTTTGGTGCGTCCTCGATATCAAGAACACATCCGGGAAGTTTCATGCATCCTCTGTACTTGCGGTCTTGAGTATTGGAACTGAACTTAGGCAGCTGATGATGACGTTACACAAGGATGCAAGACCGCTGAAGAACGCATATTGAGAAACAGCCCTAGAGACTGTTAAGCTGATGTGAGGTGTAGGGCTGCACGATATTGGAAAAAATTGACATTGCGATATTTTTTTCCCCTGC